TCTCAGCCCTCATACTCGGGTCTCCGAGCCTTCAGAAGCAATCCCAAACTTTTAGTAGGAGTCTGAAGATTAAATAATACTGGCAAAGCATCTCTGCCTCCCAACAATTGGTCTTTCCCCTTTCTTAGGTGCAGCTGGTGTCTATTGTTATAGCGGTTTGGGTTTTTTTAAAGAGAGTAAAATATTTACATTTGTTTTCATGACATCACCAGGCAAAACACTGTCAAGTTCTCTCTGAATTTTTCCAGCTTGGCCATCAAAAGTGCACCTATTTCAGCAGAAATAGTCCAAATCCTCTAAGGAGTGAGGTGCAGCAGCTTGCACTCTGGAGTTGAATGCTGAGCAGAACTACAAACATCACTCACAACACTTCTTACCAGACCCAGGTGGGTGCTCCGGGGTGGGCATAGGCAATCCAGGCACAGCTGATGTTACCCAGGGATACCAATACTAAACACCAGAGAAGAAATGCCTTCCTTACTTGAACAGTTACAAGAAAATATGAAGCTGTTTATCTAGTTAAGAAGTTTGGCTTTTATTCAGACCAGCCAGCCACACTATGGAAAAATTTCTCACACAAAAGGTGAAGCAGAGGCAAAAAGGTTTACATTAGTGTCTCTCTCCTGAGGCTACTGCTGCAATTAGGGTTCTTCAAGCATGACCTACTGCAAGCTGCAGACAGTGATAATCCCACAGACATGAACAAGGAAGCCAGTGGGACACCATGAAAATCTTGTGTCTCAGTGCTGTGACTACCATAAAAGTCCTTTTCCAGGGAGAGGGGGTGGGAATCACTTGAGCATTAAGATGAATAAATTTATTCCAATTTCCTGCTGGCATTTCAGGAAACAGCAGGCCGTGTAACAGCATCAGCTCAGCTGCAATTAGGAACACAGTAGAAAGCATTTTACCTCATAGAGCAACCAAAACAGCAAGTCCTAGCTATGAAGAGAACCAATTGCTTCCTAAGTTGGAGGACTGGGAGTTTCAGTAACCCGCCCAGAGGGAAGCTTTTCCTGACTCCATCAGTTAAGGGCTCACCTCTGTCTTAAAGCTGCTGGATCCAAAATCCAGAACACCAGAAATGTACTGACCAGTGAACACTGCCTACAGCCACCCAGGGCTGGTAACCTGAAAAACACATATGCAATCAGGGCAACCACGATGACACAGGCCAGAAAAGAGGCTCCCACCTTCCTTACCCATTATGGTCTCAGAGAGCTAAGCCCTCCAGCTTGCTGGCTGTCCTGGGACAGCAGGGCTGTGTCAGAGCCTGCTCAAAACCCAGCTGCAGCATAAACAGGAAGCAGAGCTGACAGCAGATGTGCTGCAGATGGCTGCAAACCCTGCAGAGGACAGCAGTGACCCACCATCCTCCAAAAGACCAAGGAACCAGCCTCATCTTCACCACACTAGTGACTGCTCAGCTCTCCAGATGCTGTTCTGCAGGAAAGGAAGATGTGTAGATTTTCCCCCCCACGAAGCACCTCAAAAACATCCAACATGGACAGACAGTAGTGCTCCAGAGCTGAGACCATGGAACTGTTCACAGGACTTCTTGATAGGGAATTCTGGATGTTTCCAAACACCACCCTTCTGTTGATGTCCCTGCCACTCCCCTGGTACAGGTTTAAGGAGTTCTTATTCCAAAACACTTTTTGCTATAGAGCATCCACTATAATTAGTGCCTACAACTATCACTACAGCCTATATTTTTGTCTCCTATATATGCTATGCCAACTGCCTTGAAAGTATGCAAAATTACAGACCTAGGTGGGTAAGAATTAAACTAATGCTCATGACTCCATGCCTCTAAGGAAGTGACCAGCTACAGAAGGAGACAACCATGCAGCCACCATCCTAGGAAAAGGAAAGAAAATAAAACAAAAATAGGACAAGATAAGTGTCAGACTTCCCCTTTCCTGCTGTGCTGCTGATGGCCTGCCTTTCAGGAGGTTAAACCATATTTTGCCAAAGCAAATTCAGGAAATGAGGCAGCTTCAACACTGTTGTGAACACCCAAAAAATACTGGTCATGCCAAAGGCAGATATTTAAATACAAGAGATGCCTAAGGAAATACCCAAGAAAACACTTCTCAAAAATTAACAGTACAGGAGTATTTGACAATCACACATTCATAGCAGCTAGAAGAGCCACAGATTTCTAACGCTTGGTAGAGGAATCAGAGAAGTAGAAGAAATCTCACCATAATCTTCCCTTACTGTTCATGAGGATACTGTGTTCATCAGACCTTTTGTCTGGTCTAGGGCAGCCTTCCCTGTGTCCCTGTAACAGGTCTTCCACTTTGGGAGGATTTCTTTATGATTTTCAAATTGGGAAACAATGAATGCATTAAATCCAAATTAAGTCTGGAAACCTCAGTATCAAAACCTGCACTGTGAAGACAATAAGCAACCACCATCATACATCACCCAGCACAGCTCTGAGCCAGTGCAGTGTAATTCCTACTAACACGCTTCACTCAAGCTAACTATTGAGTATATCCAATATTTCCATGACTTCTCGTGAAAAGAGTTGAAGTGATTAATGTAACCACAAATACAAAATAGCAACAGAATGGGAAACCTAAAAAGAAAACATTACCTGTAAGAAAACATGTAACACTCTGAAACAAAACTGTGTTCAGTAATAAAACATTTGGAGAAGATGCTTAAGTATTTTTTAATATCAAGATTCAAACTGTGACTTCGGAGTCTTTGTTTAACACTCACACAACACACAAAAAAGCAAGACTTTGAGCAGACATTCCCCACACCTACTCTGGGATTCTCTGGAAACAGCAACCATTGAGGCTGGGGTGAAAATTTCTCTGTATTAGATTTGGGCATTGGGTTAAGTGTACTTCCGAGTTTATTGGGTGGGTAAAGCTGCAGCGCTTTCTTAATAAAACACGGCTTAAGCAAAGCAACTTTACAGGCTGGGAAAGAGACACGACCGAAAGCTTTTTTTTCTTTCTTCTTTTATAAAACTGTGCAGCCTGTGCTGCCGAGGGCAAAGCGGGGCGGAGCTCCCCG